GCAAATGGTTACAAACTAAGGAATACTTTAGAACAACTTGCACAACACCTTTATTGCACTAAATCTCTATTATTGAGATGCTTTATTGTTGTGTATTAGTTGCATTAACTTTTAATTGAATTCTTCATACTTAGTTACATCGTGCATAAGTGTGGTAATCAGATGAGCTTAAGGAAGTTTTTGTAAAAGTTTTTAATTGATATCTTTTTGTTTGAGCCCACTGATTTGGAGAAAACTAATATCTGACTTTTGGAATTCAATTTTGATGTTTTGAACATTTGCTAATAGAGATGCAGGTATTTCACAGATGTATTTATTGTAATTACCATAGGTATCCTCTCTGAACTAACATTAATCCTTGTCCAAAACAGTGCCATTTACTCTTAATGTAATATCCCTAAATAACTCAAGGGATTGTTGACTTTACACTAATTAATCTCCCATATTTTCCTTCACCACAGTACCATAAGCAACGAAATAATTCAAAGTCAAAGGATTTTACTCAAATTTAACTTGATCTGTCTATTTTGCTGATAATGTCATTAATAACACATATTTTCCAATCTTTGGATTCTCTAAGGAAAATGTCAATTATTCTTCATTTGCCCCCAATTCAAAAAAGGCCACTGGTTCCCAAGGCTTCAATGGTCTAATATCCTTTTGCCTTTCCTTTAACCACTCTTGATATTTTTCCTTGTTGAAATTCGAAAACTTCTAACAATACAAAAAGTCATTGGCGTTATTTCCAATGAATATCAAACCAGATCCTAGAGGCACTCCTGTATTTTAAAATTTATTTGGACTTGCAACTTAGAACTTAGAAAAGCTCATCAATTTTCCATGTAAATGCTTGAAGATAAATTCTGGCTTGGAATAAACAGTAGAAAATATTTCTTATTAAACAAAGCATATTTTGGATATGCACTATTGAACATTAAATTGAGATCCTTTGTGGGTAAAAATTGTAAGGGGCAATTGATCATCTTTCTCAGGTTTCAATCCATCAATAGACACCCATCCTTCAGATTTAAATTCAGACTTTTTATCACTGAATCCTGTCACAAAGAGCTTCATCATTTGTTATTGATTGACCAAATTTAACTCAATCTAATTCTAACTGGATTGATCAACATCCACAATAATATTGGCCCAAGAATCCCCCTTCTATTATGATAAGAGCATGGGATTATTGCTACTAGGTTGGAAGTAGACATCTTGATGTTCATTCAATTTAGCCAAATCAGAGATCTCCTCTGGTGTTAATTTTGTCAAATCATCAAAAGATTCAACTATTTCATTTTATTAAATAACAGCCTATTCCTTCTATATAGCCTCTTCCAATTGATTTGTAATAACTGCCTTTTCTTACTTTTAGGCTACTGCCAATTTTGGTTGATAGTCTTCACCTGATATGATAATTATTATAATTTACCTTCGAATAAGGAACATTCCCAAATCTTTGTGGCACCTTAAATAACAATCATGTCATCTTGGAAAAATAGGTTAGTTATAATTTCATCGATTGCTAAAATAATTTGATCTTTAAATTCAAACTCTTCTTGCGATTGCTAAAAATATATAACATCATAATTACTGTTAAAACTGGATATAAGGTTTCATATATGAATCTACTATTCTCCCCTTCGTTCAGTAATTTTAACAAGTTTTAGTAATTGCCTAATTATGAATATGACTTATTCGTTAGTATAGAATAGCTTGCCTCATTATTTGTTCTAAAAAATTAGCCTAAGTATTTGTTGCTCTGGAAGAATCTGTTAAGAACTAAATACGATTATTATTCTGTGGTAAACACATGGGCAAATAGTAGATGTCTATATGGTTTTTATAGACTGATTTAAATAAGATTTGACAATTTCGAAGTTTTGAAAATATTTCGAAGTTTTTCATTATTATCCTCTTGTATCTTTTAAATCTTTTCCTCTGTAATTTCTAATTGCTATTCTGATTGCTGCTCTTAGATAACAATTGCAGTTTCCTTTTCAAAGGCATCTTAGGGAGGTTAGGCATCACATGCTTAGCATTTGAGGTTTTCATTTGAATTAAGTAGTGTGCATTCCTTGCAAGTCCAATAAGGTTTTAATTTTGGTAATTTAACTTCTTATTATTGTGATTATTATTTCTCTTTAGCTTTTTGTTCCTCAATTGTGAATACTTTTTCAATGGCCTCCTCGATCTTGTTTTTGGTTTCTATTAATGCTTGCTTTGAAGCCTCTATTGAAAAACCCATATTGTAGAGTTATTCTAATAAGTCTTCATTTGGAACAACAGCTTCTTGAGCTTCCTCACTTTGACTATCTTGATTTTCAATATTTGATGAAGGATTATTCTCTGATTAAGGTTCAGCAAACAATGGAGCCAATGAATTCTAATCTTCTACTTTCTCTTCAAATGATCTGAGATTAAATTGCAAGCATCTGTGTAAACTTAATTCTCCATTCCATACTTGTATTTTTCCTTCTTCATTAATAAGTGAGAAATAAATTGAATCGTTGACTGACTTTACCAATTGCAGATTGGCCTCCAAATCTACAAATGGAATGTTATTGATTGTCAAAGCTAATGGAATGTCAATGTAATTGTAGATTTTTTCAGCTGGCAAAATACTAGATAGATCATTCTAATAGGTTATTGGTTCAATTTGATGTCTGTAGTTGGTAAAGTGTCTAAATAGATTTGAGAAACCAGGGAGCTTCATTAAACCTAGTTCTGTTAGTGATATGATATCATAGGGATAATTATTGGAATCCAGGAAAGTGTGCAATCTATGAAATTAGGAGAATATCCTTGGCACCAAATTAAATGATGTAGTAGAATTGAACTTTTCAAATTCCTAATTGTTTAATGTCATGGCATATAATTATTCATCTATTTCTAATAATACTCGAACAATCTTTAGAACTTTGCAGCTCTCCACCTATTCATCCTACTTTAGAATTAGTCCAAAGTCTGATTCGTATTCCTCCAATTGAGATAGAACTATTTATTTCATCAAAATGTATGGTATTTAAATCAGCACTTGCGATTCAAATTGTTTTGCTTATGACCAATAGTAATGGAACTATTCTATCATATTTTGGTTTGTAAATCCATTGGTTAATGATTTCTTCCAGGTGAATGCTGTTGAAATTAATTCGTAGTGCTATTTCATTAATCTAATAGAAATCAAAGATTGTGGAGTCTCGGGTTTGTTGTTAAATAAGTTAATCAATTATGTTTAATGAATATTTGATTATCCTAATTTGGGTCTCAGCAATTTCATTTTGTTATTGTGAAAGTAGATAAAGTTGTTTGAAATCTTGATCATTTAGTCGGGTTTGAACTTTTTTAATTCGATATTAGAGAGATTGCCTGTAAAAACCTAATTTGGCATCTTAAACTCATTTGTTTTGGTAAATAAATTAAGTGGCAAACATTTAATTCTTGGATAATTAAGATTTGGATGCTAAGCAAAAGGGTTCAGAGCTGCAACTTTACCGTGTGGTGCAAATTATACTAGGGGAACATAGGTGGCATTCTTTTCAACAGGCAGTGTTTTTTTTTAATTATGATTTCCATTCAAATAAAAATTAACTTCTCCCAATTCAATGTTTAGAATAACTGTGATCGTTCTTATTGTGCTTGCTGTGAACGACTAAACATAAACTTTCTCCTGTCCTGGCTTACTAACAGTGCTCACTCCAATCTTGAATGATTATCAATGATTACTTGCATCTAACTACAATCATATATTGCTATAATTTCCCAAAGATGTGTACCCTTAGACATTTGAAGAGTACCAAATTTCTTGATGATATTTGTGTTCCCACAACATTATACCACTAATCCTGAAGGCGTGACCAATATGTTAAATTCAGAAGTCTTGGCAAATTACTATCTAGAAGAAGATTGATAAGGAAATGATACATTAATGACTAAGCCTTGGGCTATCCTAAATATTCTTATAGGATTTCACATTCAACTTAATTAACACTGTAATTAGCTTCTTTAAGAGAGTGACTCATTTTATTAAAATAATATGTTTAATTCATTCAATCTCAAATGACTCTAAATATTGTTTATAGAGATCACCAGGTATCACTGGTCAGTGATTGACGGAAAATGTATATATTTTATTAATAAATATTTAATGCAAAGGAGATAAGATTCAAACAATAACAGAATTCGAATATCGATAGATCGTTCAGTTGAAGTCAGAAATACTCGAACAAATATTTCTCCGTTGCAATCAAATCATTTGATATCTCCTCAAATTTACAAACACCTCAAATTACCTTCAATTAAACAATCAAGGTCTCCTAGTGCCAGAAATCAAAAAAACTCCCCCAAAAATGTGGCATCACTAAATTAATAAACAACAGAGTTAATCAAAAAGTTATCGAATAATAGCGTAAAATAAAAACATCACAGATTCAATACAGAAAACAGACGTAAAAGTTCTTTAAGTTAAAATAAATTGGAACCGTAAACCAAGTTAACTTCAAAAGTAATTGTAAATTGAGTATAAGCGAACTCGATCAATCTCCAATATGGTTTCCAAAAATTCATTAATTGTCTCAACATAATTTGAAGAAGAAGAGAACTTGCCAAAACAAATCAAATTGCATACTAATCTCCCTTAAAATTAAATTAAGGTCGAAATAGTTGACAAACTTCATTCTAACCTTGAACAACATCAAAACAGATATTCTAAGTTTAAGGCTCAAAATAACGAAACCTATCAGAGAAGCGAAAATCAAGAATTAAATAGTCTTCGATAATCATTATTTTCAATCATCGAAAATAGCAGAGTTTAGAGGCACAAATTTTATCAATTAGGGAACACAGACTAATAATTACAATTGTTGGAATAATTATATCTATAAAATGAAAAGCTTGTTCGGAACTATGTCTAAATTAGATAAGAAGCGTAATAAATTGATTTGAAAGTCAAATACCTTTCGAATCAAAGAAAACAATTTAGAATATAGTGATTCTCTTTTTGTAAATTGTATTTCATGTTATCATCTAAATTATTGAGGCTCCTCATCTTCATCCTTTCTATCTTACAAATTCTACTCCACAATCTATTTCATGTAATTGAATCTTTTCTAGTAATCTTCATCCTTTATCAGCTTCTCGTACTTCCCCAAAACCTTATTAATCTCATACTTGACACAAATCTTCTCCTCCAATTTCTCAGCATTGTTCAACTCCAAAGCCAAATCAAAAGTAAACTTATCAATTTCCTTCAACCCATTGAAAATTGTCTAATAGTCTAACTAGAGATCATAACTGTACCTTACTCTGCATTCCAATCGAAATTCTCACCCCACAACTAATCCTACATAATTTCAGCCAGAGTTGGTCTATCCTAAGAATCCTTTTACAACATCTTTCGAATAAGACTTCTAAATTATTCGTTGTCTATCCATCCGTCTGGAAACTGAAGTTCCGTTTCTAATGCTTATTAAAACACCAAATAATCACTTTTCCCATCAAAGGGATACTTACCAAAAACAATATGATAAAATAAAACACCTAATGAATAAATATCAGACTTTTCATTTGAATCTTTATTTCTTATGCATTCAGGTGCCATAAACTAAGGAGTTCCCACAAAATGTTTAAAAGCCTACTTTCCTTTATAATTAATTCAAATTTCTTACCTTTTCTACCATTTCCACTTCCTTCAATAGTTGGATCATTCATGTCCCTTGCAGTTCCAAAATCAATAAACTTTATTTTTTTATCTTATGTTAATAGTATGTTTTCGCTCTTTATGTCTCTGTGAACAATCCCAAGACTATGGATAGAATTTATTGCTTTTATCAAATTAACAATTACCTTTAATTATTTCACTAATATAGTATAGACAAAGCGGAAATGCTCTGGCTCCAAAATTGTGAATTTGTTACCATAACTCTCCACCATCAACGTACTGCATAAGCATATAGAGATTTTCATCATCCTGAAATGTTGAATATAACCTGATACAATAGGGATTTTCTGTAAGCTTGCCTAAACAATGTTTTTCCATATAAACATCTTTTTCCTTGTTAACTTAGGTTAACTTTCGCTTATTTATCTATTTTAATGCATAGATTTAATTGGTTTCAATTTCTCGAACTTTATAGATATCTGAAAAATTTCCATGACCCAAAACTTCGAAATCTGCGAAATCTTCTATTGCTTTCTTTCCCTATTATTTTCTTTCTGCTCTCTATTTTTCTCTCTGTTATTTCAATTGTATTTCAGAACAAATAAATTTGTGTTCTTTCCAATCTTTTTTTTGACACTCTATTGAGCAATAATAAATTTATTTGCATGAAGAGCATCTTGATAATTCTACATCCTATTTCTTACAAACTTAGCAACTATTTTAAGTTTATTCTATATCAGAGCGCATTATTTTTGTTATTTGAATTAATAAATATATTTTATAGTATTATATTACTGCATCAAAAGATAATTTGAATGATTATTACAATTGAATAAAAGCTAATTATTGTAATTGCATTAAATATCGATAATTTATAACACCATACAAGTCACTTTTAGACAAAAGTAATAATAATAATTTCTTGGTATTAAATTCTTTAATGATAGAACTTTTAAATGACAAATTATGCATTTAGAATGTAGAACCATTAATATCATTTCATAACTTGAAAAATCTTTCTCTTAAAATAATTTTTTATTTTTATTATATAATATTTTAATATTGTAATATGAATGCTAACCCTAAAGATGCATTCTCTGTTTCCTTATCGAAATTTCATCGAAAAAGTGTTCATTCTCAAATGGCAAACACAAGTGGGTCAAACTAACTTAGCGATGTTCCTAATACTCCGCTTCCAGAGTTAAAGGTTAGAGGATTGCAGAGTGCAAAAATTAAAGCATCCCCGAAAAGATCTCCACATGTTTTAAAATTTTATGTACATGATGCATAGTGTATACTCAATGATCCTATAAAAAAAGCTAATGTATAATTTAGTTTTATTTATGGATATAGAGAAGATATGAAAACTAATCTGAGTATGTATTTGTGGACACTTACTTAGATGCTTTACATATGATTGCTTAAGAAGAGAAGAAGAACAAATACGCCAATGGACAAACCATATAGTCTGAGGAATTTTCAGAACAATAAATTTCAATAAATCCTTAACCTACTTTGCCCAATCTGCCAGCTTAATTGATAAGAGAAAGAATGAGAGTTTACGCCTAAAGCTAATAAAAAGAACCTTAATCTAGTAATTCTTAATACTGATATATTAGTAGAATCTCAATTAGCATAGAGGTAACCCAAAAAAGTAATCAAAACTGCAACAAGTCTAATGACCTAAAAGATTTTTCCAAACAAACTTACCGTATCATTATCAGTTCATTAAGCAATTCCTGCTATTAAAAATAAAGTCAGCGCTAAAAGATGGGTCATGTTCACGAAATAAAAGAATGAAAAATTTTTTAATAAATAAGTTGGCTGGCAAGAATTTTAAAAAGGGGAAGTAGCCAGTATTACAAAAATAATGACCTGTTATACCACCTTAACATATTTAAAAGAATGCAATATTGAGCCTGAATAAATCAAAATTAAAATCCCAGGCCATGCTGAATGCATTGATGGAACTAGTGCCTTTCTAAATGCAGGAGGCATTTTAACAATTAAGCAATTGCTATTCGCTCTTATGTTACCTTCTGGAAATGATGCAGCACTTGTTTTGAGTTTCACTATAGCATATTTGATGATATTGCAGAAAACAGAGATTTATTAATATAATAGGTATTTGAAAGGTGCCATTATCGATATAGAACCACAAATTGAAAGAAACAAGAAATTGCTTAAACATACATTCCTCGATCAAATGAATAAGCACGCAAATTCAATTAAAATGGAAAACACGAATTACTCATCAGTACATGGTTTGAATGATGAAAAGAATGTCTCCTGTCCTCATGATATAAGGTATGAGTATTTCAATCATATTTAGTAAATTAATAGAAAAATGCATTTAATTGGAGGTATTCCTAGAAATCATAACAACAAAAATATTTAAGACTCACGCCTTAACGGATAAAGGGAGCAAGTCAACCTTTTACAAATGGAAAAATACAAATAAATTACTTAAAAAGTCTGGCTGGATGGGAGTGAAGACAGGAGTGACTCCTAATGCAGGACCATGCTTTACAGGATATTATAAAAATGAGAATCTAGAAGCAATAATTGTTGTTTTAAATTGTTCTTCGATGAACTAAAGATTTAGGGATGCAGAAGTATTACTCGTCTCAGCATTAAAATGATAAAATTAATTAATTTATTTATTTATTAAATCTATTTAATTGAGTGATATATTATTGATCACTTAAGAATTAATCAATAATATCCATTTTTAATTAACCATAGAGTACTATTAACTAGGAAGAAAGTACAAATATCATAGTTGAATATTTGAAAGACTTTTCTTAAAATAGAAAATTCCATTCCTTAAAAACTTTTGTAATTCAATAGATTACGAGCAGTAATTTGAATTGTCATTTCTAATTCTATTAAACAATTTTTATCTGTAAATAATTTTATTTAAAAGACTCAAGAAACCATTTGATCTAATTAATGCAATATTTTTCTGATGGTTTAATACTAACTTAAAAATAAATCATTTTAATAATAATTTTATGAGGAAATACTGAGTGAATGTGCAATAAATAACAAAATCATTTTTTACCAAGATATTTTTGTAGATGAAGGATAAAAATTTTTAATTTTACAAATTGCTGATTGATAAAAGAAATAAAAAGAAAGAAGGAATAATAATTTCATTTGATTGATTGGATATTTCTTTTGAGATTTAATAAATTTAGACTGTATTATAAGATAAGAAAAAATGTAATTGTCATTACAATCTACAAATATAATCAGCAATAACCTTATATGATTATAAGTATTTATTACAAAAGTAAAATAAAAATAGCAATTTCATCCTTCTCTCAAATAATTTAATAAAGGATAAATCATACTATTTTAATTACAATTTTATTAATATTAGTTTTAATAATGAAAAAATTACAATCAAAAAAAAGAGACTCCTCATAGGGAAGAAAGGTAAATTAAGATAAGGAATTTTCTAACATTCTATTTTTATATATTTTATCTTAAATCCATTAAATTTATATAAATCATTCTTTTAGAATAACATTAGGAAACTAAAATATAAAATTATAGAAAAATACTTAGAAGGCATCCAAGCAAGAAGTTGAAGCAGTAATTTCTTATAAAACTCCTCCAAAATAATTTGGACCTTTCAATTTAACAATAATTCCAGGACCCATTTATATCGATTTTATTTCAAAAGGGATATCGTCAAGCATCTTGGATTATTCTCCTTTACATATTTAAAATAATGTTCCAGCGTAATTACATTCACTGTAAAAACTAACACAAGGTACAGCAAGACTCAAAATTACATCCCTAAATCCCCAAGATTCTAAATATTAACCATTTGATACCATCCCAGAAATTTTCAAGCCCTGGACCCCAATTTTGAGTTTGTAAATTATCTTTAATTTTGATAGTTAGATCAGTCCCTGATATTTTAAACTTTCTGATTACAGGTGTGTATTGATCCTCCCAAATATCATTTCGACATATCATAGTGCCATCATGTAAGTTCAAGTATAGGCTCTCTAATTATATATCATTTGCATAAAACTCCAATCCTTCCATATCCCAAGAGTCCATTTTCCATATTCCAACCTACCATTCAATTAAATTGTTTGGTGGAACATTCGTAAAAGTTTTACTTACTTAACTTTAATATCCATATGGGCCTATATATAAATTATGAGGATCTGACCCACACCTATCTAACGTGCCGTTTGTTAATCCAACAACAGTAAAATCAGTATATATACAATCCTCTACGTTATCTGTTAAACAATTTTCATATATTATTGACTTCAGAAATATAATTTTCAAAAATGATATCAAAGGTGCCATTATAATTTTATTAAAAAAGAAGATTACAAACTTTTCTTAAATATAAATTGATAAGGTAATTACTTTTTCTCATAATTAATAAGAAATCATAAAAGATTATAGAGTGCCACTTCAACCTAAAACTTGTAGGAATGTATTTCGATTTCAAGGTTATTTTAGATAATAACGCATATATGTCAGAGCATAAGAACAATATGTAGATATTTGCAGTATTTTATTTAAATAAGCAAATAAATTAGGCTTAATTTCCAAAATGTCCCAGGTATTATTCATTTTGATATCTAATATTTATGATTTCAATACTATGTATAATAATTAGTCTGATTTTATAATTCGAGAGCAATTTTGAATCCCAATTGCTTAAATACTTAAATTTGAGAAGATGGAAATTAATTAATTATCCTTCTTAGATAATAAGTTTTTGGTTCTATCTCCTCATTAACATTAATATGTCTCAAAACCCAAAATCAATCAAAGAAAGAATTAAATTAAGCAATTACTTTTCAAAATAATGAAGCGAAAATTAAAGTTCAAAAATGTTTGTTAATATTTGGTAAACCAACAAATATTCTTTCAAAGAAAAGTTTATCCAAATAATAAAGAAAGTCAGTTTAAAGATTTTAATTTCAAAGATTATAATCAATTGTCTTAATTTACAAGCTTCTAACAAATCAATAATGATAAAATAACGAACTGATTAATTTATAATAATATTTTTACTTTTAAAAATATATACTATTTAAGATTTATTGGCTAATCAAAGCTACTTTCAGAACGATAAGAAGTTTAAAATAAATTTATTTTTAATTATTTGTAAATAATGAAGAAGACTATCTATAATCAAGAATTAGAATGCTGGTGAGAGATTGAGTTAATTATTTTCTCCTTTCAAAATTATGTTAGTCAACTTCAATCCACACTTATAGTACTATTTTATAATTTACATTTACTAGTCTTCTCAATATTGGAAGGTCAAAAAAAATAAAAGTAAGAAAATAATAACATAAATCCTATTCATCATTATTATTCTAATTTATTTAATTANCAATTTTCATATATTATTGACTTCAGAAATATAATTTTCAAAAATGATATCAAAGGTGCCATTATAATTTTATTAAAAAAGAAGATTACAAACTTTTCTTAAATATAAATTGATAAGGTAATTACTTTTTCTCATAATTAATAAGAAATCATAAAAGATTATAGAGTGCCACTTCAACCTAAAACTTGTAGGAATGTATTTCGATTTCAAGGTTATTTTAGATAATAACGCATATATGTCAGAGCATAAGAACAATATGTAGATATTTGCAGTATTTTATTTAAATAAGCAAATAAATTAGGCTTAATTTCCAAAATGTCCCAGGTATTATTCATTTTGATATCTAATATTTATGATTTCAATACTATGTATAATAATTAGTCTGATTTTATAATTCGAGAGCAATTTTGAATCCCAATTGCTTAAATACTTAAATTTGAGAAGATGGAAATTAATTAATTATCCTTCTTAGATAATAAGTTTTTGGTTCTATCTCCTCATTAACATTAATATGTCTCAAAACCCAAAATCAATCAAAGAAAGAATTAAATTAAGCAATTACTTTTCAAAATAATGAAGCGAAAATTAAAGTTCAAAAATGTTTGTTAATATTTGGTAAACCAACAAATATTCTTTCAAAGAAAAGTTTATCCAAATAATAAAGAAAGTCAGTTTAAAGATTTTAATTTCAAAGATTATAATCAATTGTCTTAATTTACAAGCTTCTAACAAATCAATAATGATAAAATAACGAACTGATTAATTTATAATAATATTTTTACTTTTAAAAATATATACTATTTAAGATTTATTGGCTAATCAAAGCTACTTTCAGAACGATAAGAAGTTTAAAATAAATTTATTTTTAATTATTTGTAAATAATGAAGAAGACTATCTATAATCAAGAATTAGAATGCTGGTGAGAGATTGAGTTAATTATTTTCTCCTTTCAAAATTATGTTAGTCAACTTCAATCCACACTTATAGTACTATTTTATAATTTACATTTACTAGTCTTCTCAATATTGGAAGGTCAAAAAAAATAAAAGTAAGAAAATAATAACATAAATCCTATTCATCATTATTATTCTAATTTATTTAATTATTACTTTTTTAGGTTTTTAGACGTATATTTTAAATTTATATTTAATTAATTTTTACTAATTTGAAACAATTAGAATTTGGAAAATTTATTTCAAAAAAAAATTAAATATTTCTGAAAAAAAAATAGCTAATAACAAACAAAAATATATTCATACTCTAAATAATCGAAAATAAATATGTTTTATTTATGATAAAATTGTTTTTGAATAGAAATTCAAATTTTTTCTAAATCATAGATCTTACAATATTAATCTAATTTTGACTTAAAAATCATAATCATTATGTGTAGATATTTAGTAAAGTTTTAATTAATGGACGGAGTCATTCATAAAATCGATAATCTGATTTTAGTTGAAGGAAAGAAAATTCAAGTGAAAAATATTAATAATTAATTGTTATCTATTGAACTATTTATTAGTTCCTGGCTCTCAAAGTATTTAGCTCTCCTCATGTTTATTTTTCACTTTCTAAATTGAAAAATTTTCCTTTTGAATCACACTTCATATTAAAAAAGTCAAAAACTGTAGCCTTAGCGGAAGATTACCACCAGTTGCTGTGCTTAGCTATCTTTTCTCATTTAGATCCTCTTCATCAAAGTCAGGACTAAACAATAAGTTTTTGCCTCCTTAATGATAGTTGGAACTTGGGTCAATCACCCATATTTGGAAACCTAATAAAAGTTATTGAATCTTGTATTTAATAGAAGATGCACGTAGGAAGTTAGAATAAATTCCATCTCTGAGCAAGTATTCATGATAGTGTAAAACAACACCCTCTAATGTCAAGGAAACTTTCTTGTTTCTTTTCAATAAAAGAGAATTTCTATTTTGGTATATTTGATTTAAGATCAATATTTAGCTTAGGTCAACCTTTTTTAACCTTCTCAAAGAAATAAGTTAAGAAATATATTTGATTTAATTTAAAGTTATGATCTGCTAATTAAACTAAAAGTTTATGCAATTATTAGAGAAGCTTTATCATAAAACACGAATATTTAAATATCACTTTATGAATTTTTTTGTTATTTTCATAATCTTTTATCTTTTAAGTATGGCAAGTATAATTAATAAAGAATTTTGTTAAACAATTCATCTTCTAGCTCAATTATTTAAAGAAATTTAGAAAAATCAAAATCAAATCGTCTTGAATAAATAAATTTCAACTTCAACCTAAAGATTGATTGAAAATACATTGTTCAAAAAATTTCAAGTTTAAAGGATGCAACTAATATGATTTGGAGCTCCAATTTTATAACTCAGATAAAATATATTTAGAAAGCAAACAATTTCTAACTTAATTTTATTAATCTCTTAATAAAAATAAATTAAGGAATTTTTTTTAGTAAAAGAAACAAAGAGAATTTATTTTCAATAAAATCCGATTCGCAATTTTATTGAAAATTAAAAGCATTATAAGGAGGCAAAATATAAAAAATCTAAAATAGTATAACCTTCTTACTAATATTCATTAAATCAAATTATATTGTTGACTAGATTTTTGAATTACTTTTCCCTTCATTTTTATCATTTTTAAAATTTATCATTTTGATGATAAATATTGCAAAACTATTTTAGAAATAAAATTTTTTTGTAAAATACTTTTGATAAAATTAATTATTATAATTTATTATTTTGAATGTTAATCTTTTGATTTATGCCAAAAATATTGGTAATGATTCTATTAATTAGTAAATATTTTATTATTATATTCAAGTCATTTTTCATAAATCGTGAAATTTTGAAATCATGCAATCAAGTATTTTTTTGCTGTTATATACAGTATCATATTTTCTATCGTACACCCCTTCCATAAATTACGACAATTAGGTTTTTATTCATATGAAATTAGATTGAATATTACGATCGGATATTTCAAATAATTATATTTTTCCAAAATAAATTACTTTTTAATGTTCATTTATTCCGTGTTCCTTAATAATTATTTATGATAATGTTTATTTGGTTTCCCACTAACTCACTTTGCTTCTCTTACAATCAATTTAAATGCTTACATAGTTTGACCTTCACCCTAATAAAAACACATAATTTACATTTTTGATTCATGGTATAAGATTTAAAAAATATCGTAGAAATTCATTATTATTTATAAAAATTAAAATGAATTGCTGTTTTGAGTAAAAAGAGGATTTGTATGAAATTTTAGAGAAATCAAAAGAATTTAATTAACTAAGCTTCAGTTCTATATTTGAAATTTTGAAAGAAGAGAAAATTGAAGAATTGTTATCAAAAGATGAAAATTAAAGGCGTATTTAATAAGCTATTTTACAAGCTGATAAGTAATAAATTTTATTTTTTGGAAAAGATAATATTTACAAAATATCTGATTTTGTCAACAAAATTATTGATCATGATTTTAACAATGTTAATTATTCCTAGGAAATTTACAGAATGACTAGACAAAACCTAATTATGAAAATTAAGGATGATAACAAGATCATTGAATTTTTAAAATTTCTCGTTCATCTCACATCTATAGATAAAAGGTTTGTCTAATGTGGATCTAATTCACTTAACTTATTAGTTGAGATGAAAGTTGATTTCAGAGAATAATGCTTTGAAAATATAAGTCTGAAAGATACTTCTTTGATAGGTGGAAATTTTGTAAGATGTAATCTAAGCGGATCTGTATTTGAAAATGTAGATATAAGTGGGATGAACTTAAATGGAGCATAGTTATTTAATTGTCAATGGAGGAATATAAAAATACATGAGCTGAATAAGTTGAATGGTCATACTAGTTATGTCTATTCAGTGTGCTTTTCTCCTGATGGTACTACATTAGCATCAGGTAGTAATGATAAGTCTATTCGTTTATGGGATGTGAGGACAGGATAGTAAATAGCCAAAATAAATGGTCATAATAGTTATATCTGGTCAGTATGCTTCTCTCCTGATGGTTAAACATTAGCATCTGGTAGTGCAGACAACTCAATCCGACTATGGGATATTAAAACTAAACAATAAAAACTTAAACTAGATAAGTATAGCGATAAAGTTTGGTCAGTATGCTTCTCTCCTAATGGTATGATGTTAGCATCAGGCAGTTCTGATAATTCTATTCGTTTATGGACTGCTAAAACAGGACAAGAGAAAGCTAAATTAAAAGGTCATAGAAATAGAGTTTTTTCAGTCTGTTTTTCTCCTAATGGAACTACTCTAGCTTCTGGTAGTTATGATAAATCTATCCGTATATGGAATTCAAAGGGAGGAAAAAAAATAAAAAAACTAGATGGTCATGAAGGAATAGTATATTCAGTATGCTTCTCTCCTGATGGTACTTCATTAGCATCTGGAAGTGATGATAAATCTATCCGTTTATGGGATGTTAAGACAGGATAATAAAAGGCCAGATTCGGTTGTCGAACCGATAGAGTTTGGTCAGTAAGCTACTCTCCTGATGGTACTACATTAGCATCTGGGAGCGAGGATAAGTGTACCCGCTTATGGGATGTTAAGACTGGGCAATAAAAAGCAGAATTAGGTGGTTTTGAAGGAACTGTCTATTCAGTATGCTTCTCACCTGATAGTACTACATTGGCATCTGGTAGTTATGATAAGTCCATTCGTGTATGGGATGTTAAGACAATACAATAAAAAACAAACCGAAATGGTCACACTGGCCCTGTTAGATCAGTAAATTTCTCACCCGATGGTGCTATATTAGCATCAGGTAGTTATGATAAGTCCATCTATATCTGGAATGTTAGGACAGGAGAGTAAAAATTAAAATTAGAAGGTCACAGTGATTTTGTCATGTCAGTATGTTTCTCATCTGATGGTACTACATTAGCATCTGGCAGTTAGGATTAAACTATTCGTTTATGGGATGTAAAGACAGGTCAATAATAAGTCAAATTTGATGGTCATAGTAATACTGTCATGTCAGTATGCTTCTCTCCAGCTGATAATATATTAGCGTCTGGCAGTTATGATAATTCTATTTGTTTATGGGATGTTAAGACAGGGCATTAAAAAGTAAAATTAGATGGTCACAATGACTGGGTCCTTTCCGTAAACTTCTCACCTGATGGAGCTACATTAGTATCGGGTAGTTACGATAAGTCTATTTTTATATGGAATGTTTAGACAGGAAAATAAATAGCCAAATTAGATGGTCATTCATCAACAATTTATTCAGTTAATTTCTCTCCTGATGGTAAAATATTAGCATCTGGGAGTAATGATAAGTCTATTCGGTTATGGGATGTGAAAACTGGAAACTAAAAAGCCAAATTAGAGGGTCATACATATGGAGTCCATTCAGTGTCCTTTTCACCTGATGGTACTATATTAGCATCCGGTAGTTACGATAAGTCTATTGGTTTATGGGATGTTTAGACTGGAGAATAAAAGTCCAAATTATACGGTCACAGTGATAAAGTTTAGTCTTCTTGTTTTTCGCCTGATGGTACAATATTAGCATCTAGTAGTGATGATACATCTATTCGTTTATGGGATATTAAGTCAGGATAATATAAATCAAAATTAGATGATTATAGTGATAGAGTCAGTTCAGTTTAGTTCTCTACAGATACTAATATAATAGCACTCGGCAGTTCAGATACCCGTATTCGTTTCTGGAATGTACAAACAGGATAATAAATCTTACCCTCAGATAATAGTTTTAAAGGTATTCAGACAGCATTTAATAACCAAAATTTTTCAGGCAAGCCTAATTCAGAAGGTGGTTAAAGAGTGTAATTTTAAATAGCAACCTCTAATGTTACTCTTCTTATTATATCTAAATAACCAATATTTCAAGCTCAAGGAGCTTTGATTCTCAAAGGAGAATTTGTAAATTATTATGGAGTAGATTTACGTTCATTATTCAAAGAGAAAGGAAGCTTAATTTTGGAGGATTAAATAGAATATTCATTTAAAAAAAATTGATTATTTTTATCATTCCTTATTAATATTTTGAATTATTATTACATTTTTAACTTTGCAATATTCTAATAAACTAAGAAAAAATGGATTCAATATCCAAAATTTGAGGCGCTTTTATCAGTAACTAATGAATAGGAAAAATGACGTTAGGATAACACCCACTACTTATTGACATACATTATAAAGAAATTTAAAGGTTCAAGTAGTTATATAATATTTTGGAAGTTATATGTACATTCTATCAGTCTATGATATAACATAGTTTTTTATTTAATAATACACCAAAGTTATAAAAGTGTGATATTCAAATAGTTGCCAAAGATAAATGGATACATGTTTAGATTTGAGAATATATTTTGGAATAGTGTTCTTCTTAAAAGATGATAATCAAGCATTATTTCGAAATTATTTTTTTCTTATTGTGTATCATAAATTTCATTTTATTGTTATAATATTAATCCTTGACTCAGATAAGAGGCCATCTAATAAAGGTTAATTTAATTTTCTAACATAATCTAAAGAAATTTAAATTATAGAATCCTATAAATTAATTAATATAAGGAAAATTCACGCATAAATCTATCCAACGCCTTCTATTGCTCCATTATTTGGGCTCTCGGAATGATTCTGAATATAATTTAGCATACATGATAAATTATAGACATTTATGCATACTTTAATTCAGACCTTAGTTTAGTGATTGATAGAAAGTAATAAATTCAATTTAATAAAGCTTAACTATTCTTATCACAAACTTCAACAATGAGTAATAAATTTTAGAAGTATTTATACCTAATTGAATTGAAATCTAACAGAACATAGTATCCAAATAGTTTTTTATTATGATCAGCTCATTTTAAGATGTTGATTTAGGAGATAATAATACCCTTAGAAGACAGAAACTAAAAGGAAGTTAAATTATATGCTCAAAATTGAAATTATTAAATTAAAAAGATTCAGTATTTTCTCCTGACTTATAAATGAAATGCAAAAACAGTGTTGGGTCACTTTATATCATTTTCTTGATGTAAAATTTATAAAATCCGTTTTTATTAATTATAACATCTTTTTTGCCATACCTTCCTTATCGTAAGAAAGGATATCAGCAATAATCAATATTTTTAACAATAAATGTATCTTTAACATAATTAGATTTGCTTTTCTGCTTTAACCTTGAAACAACAAACTTTATGTTAATTCAAACAAAAGGATAGCTAATTAATCCCTAATGCAGCTAAATTTTCTATAAAAATTGTATGGTCAAGACATAGCCACTATAAATCAATTAATATTTGTATTAAAGTTGTCTTCACAGATAGTTAAAAGTTTATTAATAGTAAAATATTTTGATCTAAAAGATGTTCATATAAATATGATTCTTTTTTTGCAATAATAAATTAGCAGATGAACTTATATTTTAAAGGAAATTAAATAATAAGTAAATTAGAAATATCATTTGAAGAAAATGCTAAATTTAATTGATTTCGATTATTTCTAACTTTATTTAAATTAAGAAGAATTATTAATATCTTATAAATTTCATAATATTCATATAAATATTGGATTTTTATCGACTATTTGCTTACTTCTGCACATCAATTTACATTTTAATAATAATCTTTAAAAGATAAAAATTAATTCTATTATTATGCCTGTAGATAGAAGGATTGCTTAAACCCATCCCAACATAATTTTTTTCTATTAATTAAATTATTCATTAAACTCTTATATGTATAAAAATGAACTAAGAATAAAAGTGATTACTGATATCTCAACTACCATCTATACTATGTAGTTCTTTTTATTAAAATAAATTAATATTTGTAAAGGAAAATTGTTTATATTAAGCTTGTTAAAAGGATCAATCCTAATTATAGTGTATGCGAATGTTAAACATTAATCAAGATTATTAAAAAGAAAAATTATCTCCCAAAACTAAGAATTGAGAACCTTTGATTTTTGTTCAATTGTTAATGGCATTTGAAAAAATTTAGTAATATTATAAAATAAAGAAGAAGTACAGCACTTACCATGATGAGTTGTATAAAATCTAAGTAACTTTTGGTTTAGAAGTTTCGTGTATATAAAAGTATTTTAAATATCATATCCCAACCATTGAGGAGTAAGGCTTTTTACAATCCTTTAAAAGACATAAATTTCTCTAATCTAAGTAAATCAAGGCAAATGTTATAAAAGTATTAACTAATTTTCAAAATAATTTTTCATTTATATATAATGATAGCTATAACATATATTAATTACATCTAAAACAAAATATCCATTTGTATCCAACCCTTTTAATCCATTGCAACAGCAACATAAGGAATAAAAATACTAAGCATTAAAATATTTGGCACTAAAGATTGATAATCAAACATGAATTCTATTTGTAATCATGAAATTTCCCATCAGCATATACCTAATTTGACTAAATATCAATAAACTGTGATAATTGTGGAAATTACAAAAAATCCAATAGAGGTTGAACAGTTATCATAAATAGAAAAATAAATAACTAGATTTTCAGGAAATTATAAATTGATATATCTTAAGTATTACTAAAATTAAAGGATTGCCAATATCTCAACAAATAAATCCCCACTCCCTAATAAAAAACTGATAATGGTAATTCCTGACAGACTATAAATCAGGTATTTATTAAGACTTTTCAAACTTTAAGAGTAATCCTTCTGTGTTTCATCCAGATAATTTGGAAATTGCAATGTTATTTATTTTTCAAAATCCTCCAAAATAGCATTATCTATATTAACAACTTATTGATTTACTAAAATTTTCAATTGTGGTCTAAATTTTAGTAATTTGTACACTTCTATTTCTACAACATATTCTCCAAAGCTCAAATATGATCCAACATCCTAAATGATGTATAAGCTGCTATTCCAGTACTTTTTTTCTATATCTGATAATTCAAAATTTAAGGTTTCTGACAATGGTTAAGGCGTATATATTTTTACTTATTAATTAAATTAGATGCCTATATATTATTTATTTTAAGTCATATTAAGATAATTAACAACTAAGATTGGAGCTTTGACAAATGTACATTAGCTAGGAGAATCTGTTGTAATTGTGATGCAAACCCAATTTTATTCAATAAAACAATCCTTGCATCCATCGGCTGCATAACTATTACCATCATCACACTCCTCTTCTTCCTAAATCAATCCATCTCCGCAATTTAATTATTATTTGCATTAATTTGAAATTAGTAATTAGTATTAATCATTGCACTCTAAACAAGTACCTTGATAACAATCGAAACAATTTTCTGGACAAGAATACTTACACTAAAAACAACCATCAAATTTTATTGGATTGCCATCATCACAATCTTCTTCTTTTGTAATAATTTAATCACCACAAATAGAGTGACAGTTGTTATTAACAAACTCATAACCATCTCCACATTTTAAAATGCACTACCCTCGATCACATATGTTGCAATCTTCAATGCATTAAAACTTACATTAATAACAACCATCATAAGGTTGAAGATTTCCATCATCACAATCCTCGTATTATTACAGAACTAATTTGTCTCCACAATAAGGATAACATGAATTTTCTAACAATTAATATCCTACTTCACACTCTAAGCAAATTGAAATATAGTTTATCTTACAATTAGCTATTGAAATAAATTTGCAATCAAGACAACCATCCCATACACCATTAACAGTCAGTTCACATAATTCAACTGAATATGGGGTCAAATTGCCATCTCCACACAGAGGATCACAACTAAAATTGGCATTAATTATAAATCCGTCTATACATTATAAAAAAATTCCAAATGAACAAATTTAACAATATTCAATACAAGAATATTTGCACTGATAACAAGAATGATTTGATACTAGAGTATCACATTATTCTTAACCTTGAATTATTCCATCTCCACAAATTGGATGACAATTTTCTAGAATNATTAAAGGATTGCCAATATCTCAACAAATAAATCCCCACTCCCTAATAAAAAACTGATAATGGTAATTCCTGACAGACTATAAATCAGGTATTTATTAAGACTTTTCAAACTTTAAGAGTAATCCTTCTGTGTTTCATCCAGATAATTTGGAAATTGCAATGTTATTTATTTTTCAAAATCCTCCAAAATAGCATTATCTATATTAACAACTTATTGATTTACTAAAATTTTCAATTGTGGTCTAAATTTTAGTAATTTGTACACTTCTATTTCTACAACATATTCTCCAAAGCTCAAATATGATCCAACATCCTAAATGATGTATAAGCTGCTATTCCAGTACTTTTTTTCTATATCTGATAATTCAAAATTTAAGGTTTCTGACAATGGTTAAGGCGTATATATTTTTACTTATTAATTAAATTAGATGCCTATATATTATTTATTTTAAGTCATATTAAGATAATTAACAACTAAGATTGGAGCTTTGACAAATGTACATTAGCTAGGAGAATCTGTTGTAATTGTGATGCAAACCCAATTTTATTCAATAAAACAATCCTTGCATCCATCGGCTGCATAACTATTACCATCATCACACTCCTCTTCTTCCTAAATCAATCCATCTCCGCAATTTAATTATTATTTGCATTAATTTGAAATTAGTAATTAGTATTAATCATTGCACTCTAAACAAGTACCTTGATAACAATCGAAACAATTTTCTGGACAAGAATACTTACACTAAAAACAACCATCAAATTTTATTGGATTGCCATCATCACAATCTTCTTCTTTTGTAATAATTTAATCACCACAAATAGAGTGACAGTTGTTATTAACAAACTCATAACCATCTCCACATTTTAAAATGCACTACCCTCGATCACATATGTTGCAATCTTCAATGCATTAAAACTTACATTAATAACAACCATCATAAGGTTGAAGATTTCCATCATCACAATCCTCGTATTATTACAGAACTAATTTGTCTCCACAATAAGGATAACATGAATTTTCTAACAATTAATATCCTACTTCACACTCTAAGCAAATTGAAATATAGTTTATCTTACAATTAGCTATTGAAATAAATTTGCAATCAAGACAACCATCCCATACACCATTAACAGTCAGTTCACATAATTCAACTGAATATGGGGTCAAATTGCCATCTCCACACAGAGGATCACAACTAAAATTGGCATTAATTATAAATCCGTCTATACATTATAAAAAAATTCCAAATGAACAAATTTAACAATATTCAATACAAGAATATTTGCACTGATAACAAGAATGATTTGATACTAGAGTATCACATTATTCTTAACCTTGAATTATTCCATCTCCACAAATTGGATGACAATTTTCTAGAATTTCATTTTATATCCAACCTTCTTAACAAAGTAGACATTTATCATCTATTTATTCTAAACAACCTTCATTCAAATTCTTAAAAATTA